TTCTTATCAAACACACCCCTCCTACATATAACCTTCTTATCAAACACACCCTCCTACATATAACCTTCTTATCCAAACACACCCCTCCTACATATAACCTTCTTATCCCAAACACACCCCTCCTACATATAACCCCTTCTTATCCAAACACACCCCTCCTACATATAACCTTCTTATCAAACACACCCTCTAACATATAACCTTCTTATCCAAACACACCCTATCATATAACCTTCTTATCAAACACACCCTCCTAACATATAACCCTCTTATCCAAACAACACCCCCCTCTACATATAACCTCTTATCCAAACACACCTCCTAATACATCACCTCAATCCTCCCCCACTCCACCCTATTCACCCTAACTTTTCCCATCCCCCCCCACCACATAAACCCACTCCCCCCTCTACCCCCCCCAATACCTCCATTAAATCTCAACATTATCCTACATAATATTTTACATAAAATTTCATAAACCCCTAACATAACCTACATCACTCACCTATACCTAACCCTATCCCCAAATCATCACAATCAATTAATACCTCCCCCATACTCTCCCTTATCTCCTCTACCACAACCATATTTCCTAAAAACTACCATACCACCCAAAACCCCAAACCTCCCCTACTATCTAATACCCTCCCCTATATTACCCACACCTCCCCTACCTATCTACACCTCCCCTACTATCTACACACCCCCCCCCCCCCCCCCCCCCCCCCCCCCCCCCCCCCCCCCCCCCCCCATCCCTCCTACTATTACACACCCTCTCCTACTATCTACACACCTCCCTACTATTACACATCCCTATCTACACCTCCCCTACTTCTACAACCCTCCCTACTATTACAACCTCCCCCTACTATCTACACACCCTCCCTACCTATCTAACACCATCCCCTACCTATCTACAACCATCCCCCTACCTATTAACACACATCCCCTACTATCTACAACCTCTCTACTATCTAAACCATCCCTACTATTACACACCATCCCCTACTATCTACACACCCTCCCCTACCTATTACAACACATCCCCTATATCTAACACCCATCTACCTATCTAAACACCCCTACTATACCACCTCCCTACTATCTACAAACCATCCCTACCTATCTAACACCTCCCTACTATTACACACCATCCCTACCTATCTACAACCATCCCCTACCTATCTACACCTACTATACAACCCCTCCCTACTATCTACAACCTCCCCTACTATCTACACACCATCCCCTACTATTACAACCATCCCCTACCTATCTAACCATCTCCCTACTATCTACACACCCTCCACTATCTACACTCTCCTACTATTAACACCATCCCCTACTATCTACACACCATCCCCTACCTATCTACACACCATCCCCTACCTATCTAACACATCCCCTACTATTAACAACCCCCCTCATATCTACACACCATCCCTACCTATCTACACACCCTACCTATCTACACACCCTCCCTACTATTACACACCTCCCTACTATCTACACACCCTCCCTACCTATTACACACCATCTCCTACTATCTACACACCATCCCTACCTATCTAACACCCTCTCCTACCTATCTACACACCATCCCCTACCTATTAACAACCTCCCCTACTATTACAACATCCCTACTATCTACACACCTCCCCTACTTATTACAACCCTCTCCCTACTATCTACACACCCTCCCCCTATCTTACACACCTCTCCTACCTATCTACACACCATCCCTACATATTACAACCTCCCTACCTATTAACACCTCTCCTACTATCTACAACCTCTCCCTACATATCTACAACCATCCCTACTATCTACCACCATCCCCTACCTATTACAACCACCCCTACCTATCTACACACCCTCCCCTACTATCTACACACCCTCTCCCTACTATCTACACACCATCCCCTACATATTACAACACCTCCCTACCTACTAAACCCTCCCCTACTATCTACACACCTCCCCTACCTAATCTACACACCATCCCTACCTATTACAACCTCTACTACTATCTACAACCTCTCCCTACCTATTACAACCATCTCCTACCTATCTACACACCATCCCCTACCATATTAACACACATCTCCTACCTATTACACACATCTCCTACTATCTACAACCCTCTCCTACCTATCTACAACCCTCTCCTACCTATCTACACATCTCCCCACTAATTACAACCTCTCCCTACCTATCTACACATCCCCTACTATTACACACATCCCTACTATTACACACCATCCCCTAACCCTCAACACCCCCACCACCCCCCCCCCTCCCCCATATTACAACCCTCCATCCCTACCATATCTAACCACCCTCCTACTATTACAACCATCCCCTACCTATCTACCACACCATCCCTACTCCTACT